CCGCAAAGATTGAACATGTTTCAGTTTGGGATCTTTACACCCTAGACTCACAGTTTTGAAACCACTCGCAAACTTCCCAAACCTGCGGAGTTCGTTCTCTAACAAGTTGTTAGAAATAAACGGCGGAACACCGGATACGGTGATCCGCGTAGAGGGAACCGACAACGGGGAAACCTGCACAAACAAATCCCTAATGAACACACCACTCTCAATCAGCTGATACACAAGAGGCTCACTCTTCAGAAAAACAACCACAGCCTTGTTCATTCGGGATGCATACAAGAGTTTATCATGGCCTACCTGTTCACCTGCAGCTAACAGAACCTCCTCCACGGTGACAGTACCGTTCGGAGGGACTATCCGAACTCCCTGTCGGAGAGTCGGAGGTGGCGTCTCAGCAGACGCCATTCCTCCCTCCAACCCCTCCAACGATCTGTCTTACACAGCCAACAACACTCAATACAAATATGAAAACAATCTGACCTGATCATGCACTTTGAAAACAGTAGAAAGGATAGCAAACAATTCAATCTCCGCGCCACTCGCAACACCACCACCGTCACTCACACTCACACTCACACTCACCGGGAAACCGGAAACGGAAACGGAAACGGAGAGGAAAGAGAGGAGAGAGAGAGAGAGAGAAGAGAGAGAGAGAGGAGAGAGAGAGAGAGAGAGAAGAGAGAGGAGAGAGAGGAGAGAGAGAGAGAGGGAGAGGAGAGAGAGGAGAGAGAAGAGAGAGAGAGAGGAGAGAGAGAGAGAGAGAAGGAGAGAAGGAGAGAGAGAGGAAGAGAGGAGAAGAGAGGAGAAGGAGAGAGAGAGAGAGGAGAGAGAGAGAGAGAGAGGAGAGAGAGAGAGAGAGAGAGAAGAGGAGAGAGAGAGAGAGAGAGAGGAGAAAAACAAAACACAACATTACACTGTGATACAGACAAGTCAAGCACAAAATACAGAACATAAACGTAATGGCTCTCAAACACGCATCCGCCCACGTATCCCTCCCACAAAGCCACAGCACCCACACAAAGTCATCAGAGGTAGATGCACATAGTGACATATGCAATCAAGATATTGGAAAATAAGTTTCTCAAAGATTTTAGCTAGAGAATTAATAATTGATATTGGTGGTAATTGTTAGTGTCGCGAGGGTTGCCTCCCTTATGAAGAGTGACTATGGCACATTTCCAAGTGGAAGGAGAGTACAAGTTGCTGTAGAAAGGTTAAATAGATCGCAAAGTAGGTACATCAAGATATGAGCAGCTAACTTAATAAATTTAGTCTCAATGCCATCTGGTCCAGTTCCACAGTCATCCTTTAGTTCATTAATTGCATGTTGTACTTCGACAGGTAATATTTTTTGTAAAGAGAAACTGCTTCTACAAGTAGAACTATTGAGGGAGTCATATGCCACAGGTGAGTCAAATACAGGAGAGTTGCCTATGGAGGCAAAGTGCTGATTAAAAATATTTGCAGCAACGGATGGTTCTTGAATAATATTGTTATTGTATTGAATCTGGGTAGTGGTGTTTTTGTTTGACTTATTGAGAATTTTATTCATGCTTTTCCAGAACTGTTTCAGATTGTGCATATTTTCTGAGAGATTTTTTTTGTAGAAGTCTGATTTAGCATTACGTGTTTTTGTCTTGCATAAGTTTCTTAAGGATCTGAAGTCTGGTAGGCTCGTTGATCAGCTGGGTTAAATTTATACTGTTCAGCAAGTTTTTATCGTGTGATGAAGAACGGTCTAGCCAGTTGCTGTTGAAGTCGCCTAGGATAATCATTTCACACGGATGTTCAAATGAAGTAAGAGTAGATACTATGCATTTGGTTGATTCGGTTTATTTTCATGAAATTTTAACTTAACAAAAAGACATTCAAAGAATGAACGGGGTACTTTAGGAGTGGCAGGTTCAGACACAAAATGAGAAGAAACATATATAGCCACACCTCCTCCTCTTGTGCCCCTGTCAGCTCTATATAACATATAATTATCAAGTTCAACTTCATTGTCACAAATTTTGCTGTGCAGCCATGTTTCTGAAAAGGTAAGAACATCAGGTTTGTGCTGGGCGAACCAGACTCTAATTAAGTCAATTTTTGGAAGAAGGCTCCTGATATTCAAGTGTATAATTTTTATGCCTTTAGCTTTATCAATTATATATCAGATTGAAAGTGATAATGGGGTGGAGTGGGTTTAGGAAGGGGCTGGGAGAGAGGCAGGAGAGACACACGGACACACACAGGACACATACACAAGACGAGAAACAGTACGAAATAAAGCAAATAAAATAAAACAAAAACAAAAACAAAAAAGCTGCATTTTGGAACAAAACTAGCAGCTCAGTCTGCATAGCTCATAGAGACAGGATACAGAAACAAACAAGAGGTCCGAAAATGAGAGAGTGATAAATTAGGGGGGCCTAAACTAAGGCATCAAGAAAACAAAGAGACTGCATCCGGCTACAAAACGTTCCAGAAATAACTTTGGATGCATTCATTATTTTATGTTATGTTCATTTTACTTATAAGTCTTCGTAACTATGGTGGTTTGACAGTTGCACATACATTTTCTTTAACTCATCGTTTATCTTCTCTGAGCCCGGCTACGTTACGTTTTGCGACAGCTGCAACTCAGTTGAGTTTGCGACACTGTTTACGGCAAACAAACTAGTCATGCTTTTGACAGCAAGACTTGGTAAGCAAGTATCAACTTGTTGACAACTTTAAAAGTTGTTTCACAAACAGAACACAAATACAGGCATTAAAGTAATAGGAAACCGAATCAGTCAGCATATCGTTCAGGCCAGATGAATAATGTACTGAGAGTATAGAAGATCAGGAGAGAGCAAAAGGCGTCTGTCAGAGAGAAGTGTTCAGGTTAGCATTCATGCTATGGGGAGTTAGCCTCGCCGAAGAAAGCCTCAGCCTCTTCGGGGGAGCGGAAAAGTTTTGTCTTACCATCATGGAACACTTTCAGCGAGCAGGGGAAAATCATGGAGTATTTGAAGTCCAGGTCCCACAGCCTTTTCTTAATCGTATCAAACTGTCTACGTTTCTGGACAAGTGCAGCACTGAAGTCCGGGTAGATGTGCACTCGAGTTCCATTGTACACAAGCTCTCTCTTTTCCCTGGAGAGCTTCATGATCTTCAGCTTGTCCTGGAAATGGAAAAGTTTGACCAGGATCGGCCTTGGCCCGGCTCTGGAGTTTTGTTGTTGGATGAAGGACGAGGAGCGATGACAGCGCTCGATGACAGGAGGAGTGGGGAAATTAGCTTCTAGAGAAGCTGCGGTATCAGGCGATTCATGAAGCCGAGGATATCCCAACCCTCTGACTTTTCAAGGGTAGAGATGAAACGTAGGTTGGAAGCACGACTTCGGTTCTCAGCATCTTCATACCGTTCTTTCAGGTAACAGTTTTCCTTTTCAAGTATTTTGACACGTTGGATCAAGTCCTGGACATCATCCTCGTTAGAGCCAACTCTGTGCTCAGGTTCCGTGACTTGCTCTCCGAGTGTGGATACAGAGCTTTCTATTTTGTTAAGGCTGACTTTAATAGTTTCACGTTTTAAATCCATGTGTGATATCATTTTGAGCTTAATTTGCTGCATCCCTTCCCAGATAGTTTGAGAGGAGACAGGTTCTTGAGCCATTGTGAGGCCTGCCTCCATTACCTCTCACAGTGAGTAGATTGTTTGTCTTGTGAGTTTGGTGAAAAAAGTTGCTCCTGATCAGGTTTCAGAGATATCACAAGTTGCTGTGATTGTTGTCAAGACATTTAAGTTGCAAATATGTCTCAGAAGGACCTCAGTAGAGAAATGTTTGAGCCAGCAGACTGCAGCTTGTTAGAGACACTCACACCACGACAGCCATCTTTATTTCAGCCTCCTGTTCTCTCATTACATTTTGTGTATGACCTCTTAAAGCCTCGACCGTTATACTTTGGTGATCTCAGGCTGAAACATTTAAGAACCCCTGGTATAGCTGATATGTCTGTAGAAGGCAGCTGATTTACAAGAAACACACCTCAGTGGATCTGCCTTGTACATTTTTTTTCTGCAGAGTTTCCATCTTCCTGTAGCAGGCTGTAAACACAAGTCCCCGCCTTTATAGGGCATGTATACTGGTAGCTGTTGGTTTCTTTATTATTCCATATGTAAATGAACTCCTTAGCTTATCTGTAGCTGTAGAGAGCGGTGTAGGGCCCATCCTGCTGTCCATCCATCATGTCAGCTACACGCATACACATGTTGACATGTTGGAGTTTTAGAAACACCAGACGCACCCCATATATGATGTTCAAACAGCATAAGCTACTTCCCCACTCTCCCTCTCTCCTGCATCTCATCTAGGTCTATATTCATAGGGATGTATACGTTTCTATTTTGAATATATCTCAACTTTATTAACTATTATTATTATTACAAAGACTTGAGACTTGACTTGGAATGAGAGACTTGTGCCCATCTCTGTACTTGTCTTATTAACACTTGAAAAAAATATCCCTGCTAAAACCATAGACTGTAAATATGAATGTTTGAGTGATGTCACCTATCTGTTCCTGCAGGGGGCTCATCAGCAGCAGCCGCCATGTTGGAAATCCTGTCTCAACCTAACTTTCAGTCAACCTAACGACAGGCTGAGAGCTGGAGCTGAGGCGGGTTTTAAGCTTCTTGACAAACCGTTACACCGTGCCCACCTGTCAATCATGTCAGCTACACGCCTAACTATAGATAACACATATTCATAGAATCAAAACAGAGACATTTTTGAAAAGTCATCCCCTGTTCAGTGTGTGCACGAGGAAGATAACTAATCAGACCTATTTGTTTTTTGTACCAGGCTGTAAATGTTGTATGTGACTTCCTGTGTTCCTGCAGCCAGCCTCTAGTGGACACTCGAGGAACTGCAGGATTTTACACTTCAGTATTGGCTTCATTTTTCAACACCGAAAGTTGCCACTTGGCTAAAACCCATCAAGCACAAAAAACAGAGATATTTGTGGTTTTGTTTTTTGTATCGTGTTTATTTACCTCAGGATTTCATAAAACAACTTTTTAGACTTTTACTTAATGACTTGCAGGAAATGTTGTCAGAGTGGGCTTCAACAGTTAAAAGCCACCATGGTTCCTGTACCACTGGGCTCTGGCAACAACATCATTGGAGTAGTCTCTACCGGTTGTGTGGTCATCGACGTTTTCATAAGAATGGACGTTTCCATCGCCCATGTTGTAGGCTGCAATCCCACCTGGAGAATTAAACACACATAAGATCAAACCATTTGTGTGAAGGGGGTTGTGTTTGTGTCAACTTAGTGGGTGAGTGAAACAAACCTTTCAGCTTCTGCTCCGGGCTCCAATCAGGAAATTTTGTACTGATCCGTCCGATGAAATGAACCAAGATGCCCGTGGCTTGTCTGAGGTGTTCCTCGCTGTCCCAAGCGCCCTCTGGAGTGTGGTTACCTCCGTTTGGATTCACATCCACCTACATATGTTTGAAGGAAAGCTGGTTAATCACGCTAAGCTAAAATCATGTGAGTAAAAAAAGTATTTACAAGCACCTGCATCAGTCCCCAGCCGTTGTACGCTTGTCGGCTCTCGTCATAGTCCCCCCAGCCTCCAGTGTTCTTTATTGCGTTTCCAGCCCGAGACTCTCTGGAGATGATGGCAGCAATCAGAGCTGGAGGAATTCCCTTCTGAGCCCCCACTCTGTTGATTTTAGACTTGAACTCTTCCATTCTGCCTGCATCAGTCTGGGCCATGGTGTGTGATGCTGCCACACCTTTAGAGAAAAAAAAAATCACAGAAAAAAAACGCTAGTAGACTCGGAGTGACCAAATCTGATATTGACCGTTTTCACAAACTGGATTTCTTTTGATTTCAGGCTCATGGTGAGAAGCTCAGTGGTCCAGGTTTGTTTAAAGTCTGACAAATGTCCCATCACCTTTTTTTGTTGTCCAGCACATGGAAAAACCAGAATGATTAGCCGTTTTCTGTGATGCACCGGTAGTTTGAACGCTCATGATGTCTCCGTAACCTGCAAATGATATGTTTATTATAAGATCAGTTTTGAACAGAATCAGAAACAGAATCACTTAATTTAATCCCTGGGGGAAGAAGATGGGATGTTTCAGTCGCTCTGATAAACAATACAGCTAGAGAGTATATACAGGGAAAATAATATAATTATGAATAAAATGAGAACAAGAAATAAAGACATTGGTTAAACAAAGCACAGAGAAATTAGGAAATTAAGTTCAACTAAAAGAAAAACAGACTGTTGAGGAAATTCTTAAAACTTGACTTCCCTCAAGAAAAATTCCATCAGACGAGCACTCACCCATCTTTGATGTTTCCTCTTCTGGTGGTCTCCTCACAGCTGAGATGTCAAACAACACAATGTCCCTCTGTGCACTCTCCGGTTGTATTTATAACTCAGTGCTGTCACTTTCCTCATGACGTTACTCCCTTCCTCGTGCTGTCTGGTGTTTCTCTCTCTCGCCTGCAGGAGGTGCTGTGAGCTGATGTGTCAGAAGAGAAAGAGGAGAGAATCAGGTGAAGGCAGCTGGTTTACAAGAATCAGACTGAGCTACACACACAAAGGTTTAATTACAGTCTGAGTTAGATAAATCTGGTTGTATCCAGTTTTTTACTCACCTTTACCCATACATGGTGAGTGTTTGTTGTTGAGGTCATTCATCAGTCAACCCCCCCTCCCGTACACACAGTAGCCTGTAAATTGAACTTTAACATGTTCGTGGGGCACTGGTGCTCGATGGTTAGTGTGTGCGCCCCATGTGTCGAGGCTGTGGTCCTTCGGGGCGGGTGGCCCGGGTTCAGGTCCAACCTGTGGCTCCTTTCTTGAGTCTCATTCCTCACTCTTTCTCACCCTGTTTTCCAACTATATCCACTGAACTCTCTGTCTGATAAAGGCAGAAAATTCAAAAAAAATAAATCTTTAGAAAAATAAAAATATACATATATTTATGTACCGTGTAATATAATTCTGGAAAAAAATCTTGTACAACTTAACGGATGTCTTGTTTCTATTTTTTATTTTTTATTTTTAGATTATGTGAAATGCTCGATAAAAAGAAATGTAAAAAAAAAAAAAAAAAAAGAGGAAGTCTTGACAACTGGAATGGGAGGAATATTGCGAATTATCCAAGCGGCTACCTCCGGTCTTGAAAAATTAAAGCCAATGCAGAAGAGCAAAATCCTGCAGTTCATCGAGTGTCCACTAGAGGCTGGCTGCAGGAACACAGGAAGTCGCAAACTAGTTAAAAAAACAGTTTTTACAGCATAAATAAACATGTTTACAGCCTGGTACAAAAAAATCAAATAGGTCTGATAGTTATTGTCATCACTGGTAAACACTGTACAGGGGGTGAATTTAAAAACCCCTGGTATAGCTGATATGTCAGTAGAAGGCAGCTGATTTACAAGAAACACACCTCAGTTGATCTGCCTTGTAAAAAAAAATTCTGCAGAGTTTCCATCTTCCTGTAGCAGGAAGTAAACACAAGTCCCCGCCTTTATAGGGCATGTATACTGGTTGCTGTTGGTTTCTTTATTATTCCATACGTATATGAACTCCTTATCTTATCCCACCTTGATCTGCAACTGTAGATCATTATAGAGCCCTACCGGGTGGTAGTATCAGGTCAGGTGGTGCTGAAAGATATCTCAGGTAATAACTGACTAAACATGAGGAAGTCATAGTGAAACTGAAGGTGGAAAAGTCTCCCATATGCTCGTCACATCATATGATCTCTGTGAAAAACAATCAAAAAACATGTTAAAGTTCAGTTTACATGCTTTGTTAAATAATCTGTGATCAATGATAATACTTATACTGTGTGTGTGTTCAAGATTCTTAGTTAAGCTTTAAAGTAATTTAAACTTCAGCTGCAGTAAATCTCAAAAAAGTGAAACTTAGAAGACCTCATCGGGTTCCAGGCCAGCACGTGGCAAATCCTCTAGATACAGATAGAAGTATGATTTCTTCATGTGCTGGTCAAAAACAAGTGATGGGACATTTGTCAGACTTTAAACAAATCTGGACCACTGAGCTTCCCACCATGAGCCTGAAATCAAAAGAAATCCAGTTTGTGAAAACGGTCAATATCAGATTTGGTCGCTCCGAGTCGCAATATCAGATGTGTCAACGAACATTTTTTGCAGAGACAACTTCTACAAACTGACTTTTTGAAAGACAGTATTCACAACATCAAAAGTCGTAACAGAAAACAAACAAATACAATCAGAACTGTTTACTTTTGTCTGTCTTTGCCTAGCTACTAGCATGCACTAAAAACGGCTCCATTCATCAGAGCCACGAGAAAATCATCATTATCTGCCAGATTCTTTGCATTGACAAATATTTCAAGCTCATTAGAGCATGTGTGTGCAACAGGGAAGTTAATTTTTTCATCATGGATGAAAGTAAGTTTTGGGCTGGGAGAAAATCCAATAGCAGGTACTCTAGAGCTTCCTGTTGTAAAGGCCAGGATGTGCTCAGGATTCAACGACAGGATGAAAGCTCTCTCTGCCTCAGTTAAGTTCCTGTTATTTAGACGCTCCTCAAGTTCCTTCTCTAAAAGGATGAAAAAGGTACAAAACCGCCCGTTCGATTTCTGCTGCAGTGAGGGAAGCGGCCATGCTTGGGTCTTCCCTGGTTTCACCTACTGATCCGAGGTCAGGGGTGTGGGCGTGGCCATGCGCTGGTCTGAGGTTAATTCAAGGGGCGTGAAATTACATGATTTGCATATTTTCAAAATATTTAGCTTTACACTTGGCGACACATTTAGATTTAGATTTAGATTTAACATTTAGATTTAACATTTAGATTTAGATTTAACATTTAGAGTTACCATTTAGATTTACCATTTAACATTTAGAATTAGATTTAACATTTAGATTTACCATTTAACATTTAGATTTTGATTTAACATTTAGATTTACCATTTAACATTTAGATTTTGATTTAACATTTAAATTTAGATTTAACATTTAGATTTAACATTTAGATTTAACATTTAGATTTACCATTTAACATTTAGATTTAGATTTAACATTTAAATTTAGATTTAACATTTAGATTTAGATTTAGATTTAGATTTAACATTTAAATTTAGATTTACCATGTAGATTTAGATTTAACATTTAGATTTAACATTTAGATTTAGATTTAACATTTAGATATAGATATAACATTTAGATTTAGATTTAGATTTAGATTTAACATTTAAATTTAGATTTAACATTTAGATTTAGATTTAGATTTAATATTTAGATTTAGATTTAACATTTAACATTTAGATTTAGATTTAGATTTAACATTTAGATTTAGATTTAACATTTAGATTTAGATTTAACATTTAAATTTAGATTTAACATTTAGATATAGATATAACATTTAGATTTAGATTTAGATTTAGATTTAACATTTAAATTTAGATTTAACATTTAGATTTAGATTTAGATTTAACATTTAGATTTAGATTTAACATTTAACATTTAGATTTAGATTTAGATTTAACATTTAGATTTAGATTTAACATTTAGATTTAGATTTAACATTTTGATTTAGATTTAGATTTAGATTTAACATTTAGATATAGATATAACATTTAGATTTAGATTTAACATTTAGATTTAGATTTAGATTTAACATTTAGATTTAGATTTAGATTTAACATTTAGATTTAACATGTAACATTTAGATATAGATATAAAATTTAGATATAATATTTACATTTATATTTTACATTTACATATATTTATGTGTAAAATGAGCTAAATGTGAAGAATATTAACTAAATATTGAAAATATATATATCACAACGTTTTTACAATCGGCACCCCATAGTAACGCACTGAGCTGTGTCACACTGTTTGTTCTTGTTGCAGGATGGGTTCAGTGACAGTTTTTTAGGTCCACTATATATCCACTGTATGTCCACTATATTTCCTCGAGGTCTATATTCTTAAAGAAGCCTGAGTGACGTCAGCTGTCATTGTGTGGATAGTGAAAACCTTGAGGAAGAGAGTGGCATAAACTCATCTGTGACTGTGACCAGAAGGGGTCCCATGACTGATCCTGAGCCTGTGGATTCTGAGAGGAGAACAATCGAGTGGATAACCTAACTTTCTGAGCCAAGTTTATCATAGGTGGACTTTACTGACTTGACGTGTGTGACCTCTGACCCTCAGAGTACTTCAGTCTCTCTTGTGTGTCATCAGACAAATCAGCCTGCGACTTGTGGTTCTAGCTTTACAGCTGCTGTGGACACTTCCACACATGCGAGTCAGCCTGACAATGCTGTTACTATGACGCAGACTGACAAGACTAACACTTTGTACGCTGTTGACCAGATTTCAAAAGCACACAGTAATCGTTCCATTGCACAGACACAGGTCAGGTCACGATTTGGTCGACTAATTAAACCTGTAAACAGACTGATACAAACCATGTCCAGACAAGATGTTGTTCAGGATGGGTTCGATGTTAAAGATGTTTGTGAATCTATGTTTCAGGCATTTGCTGACTAGGCCTATGCCTTGCTCTAGGTGTCTTTAAGACACTTCTTTTTTTTGTTGGGGTGTTTGTGTAAAATTCTTCTTCCACCTTCCTTGTTATTAGTGTTGTTGTGAGCCTGCACTGCACTGTTTTTGGGGTCTTGCAGGGTGTAGAAGGCACCCTGTTTCCAGTTGTTGGGTTGAGAGATAAGCGTTGCTCTCATACCCCTTCATTCTTATGGGATACATTTGACATTGGTTTTCTTGGTAATGAGTCTGACCCTATTTGTCATATGTCTAGTTCGATTGTATTTTCGGTGCATACTGTGCGGTTGGTGCCTCATTTCGCTAAAATTCAGTGGGGGTGGGTGTAACGGAGTTAAAATGCACTTTATTTTTGAGTACAGTTTACAATTTATATTTGAGATTTCATTTATAATTTATTTCTGTTAAGTATTTGTGAATTTTATCTTAACGAGTTATGTATATTTACTTTTATTTTAACAAATTTATGTTTCCTTTGAGAATGACCTTTTTGGCACTTTGTGGCTTCTGTACCTCCTGGGTTACCGTAGCTCCTTCCATCTGTCCCTCACAGTGCCGTTTTGCATTGCTGAAGGTAAGTTGTATGTAAAAACGTTGCTGCATCATTACCTTATTTACTGTGGAAAATAAGTGATTTAAGTTGTAATGTGAAATAATATAATATTTAATAAATAATATTTATTTTGCATGTGTAGGAGCAGAGGTGCAGAAAACAAATGTCCAGAAGGCAAATTGAATGTTCTTTTGTCTTCTGCTGGAATGTTTTTCTTTGTATTTTCATACTTTCTGTTTTGTTTTACAGCAGCATGTTGTCGCTTATTTTGTCCACTAGGTGTCACTGTTTTACCATTTGGTATACTGTTTCTCATGGTTTTTACTCAGATTTATTTTTAATATACACTGAAAACAAAGTTTTTGGTTATAAATATGTACATGTAGTTAAAATATTTAAATGATGATTGTAATGTATTTCTATGTAATATAAATGTGTTTTGAGCTCACACAGTGCTGTTTTGCATTGCTGAGGGAGCAGAGGTGCAGAAAACAAATGTCCAGAAGGCAAATTGAATGTTCTTTTGTCTTCTGCAGGAGAAAATAAAAACTGGAAAACAGTCAAAGTCTGGTTTTCTTTACTCCCCTGACCACATCCATTACAAAAACATGTACAGACCTTCTGTTAATGTGTTTTATTTACTCTGAAGTCACACAGGGATGAGAGGAGCAGCTATGAGTTTGAAAGCAGCAGTGAGTGGATTGGTTATCTTCCTTCTCTCTGTGTCAGGTACTGTATGTCCTCACTAAAACTTTCATCACTGAACGTATTTGGATAAGGCTTAAATTGTTTTTAAAATGATAAAAGAGTAGACTCTTTAATGTTCAGGTTTTTTAGATTGAGTGTTAGATATGATGCAAACTGTTAAAGACATGTTTGCTTCTGTTTCTTTCTATAATTAGATTGTTTTGTCTCACTAAGTTTCTAAGTCTTATGATGTGTTTTTAACATTTTCATACATTCAACATCCGTCTGCATCATTTTTCACAAACAGTGAAGATTTTTGAAGTATTTTACAGTAAGAGAAGTTCTGAATAACTAAAGCTGCAGAATTCAGTAACTTCCAGCTGTAAGAGTCTTTATTTCCTTCATGAGAGAACAAGATAACATCTCCAGAAAAGGGGAACCAGAGTTTGCAGATGCATTAAGTTTTGTATGATGTATGTGTGATGTTTCCATTCTCTTTCTGCTTAACAGTTAAGTGTCCTGATAAAACAGACTCACACGTGATCTTCAGTTTTCTTCTTTTCACACTAACCTGACCACAGATTGAACAGAGAGGAAACAAAGACAAGAACACTTCAGACACACCCACTAAACTGCATTTACATTCAAGTGCAATTATTTCAGAATCTGAAAGCAAACACTTTGTCTTTTTTCAAAGACACATTTAGATTTTTAGATCAATGTCCATTTTAAAAGCTTAGAGAGAGAAGTTTGTGTAAATGTATTAAAGTAGATAGATACGCAGTGGAGTCACTAAAATTGTTTCAATATAGCAGATAACACATTATTATGCCTGTTAACAGAGACTACAGTCTTTAGTGTTGTTCACACATTTCACTGATAAACTTAGTTACATTAGAAAACAAGTATCAAATGAAGTTCTTGGTTTCTGGAGTAAATTAAATGAAAATTTCCCTTACTCTTGCTCATCTGTTTGAACTCTCTCTCTTTCTCTCTCTCTCTCAGTAGTTGTTTGTAAAAACGATCAGTTCTGTGGTCCATGTTTGACCAGATTGTGTTTCCTGATGTGCTCTGTGTTTCAGTGGTGAAGGGAGAGGATACCTGGAGAGTGACTCACTCTTCTGCTCAGATCTGTGCCGTCAAAGGATCAACAGTGGAGATACCCTGCACCTGCACCTACACATACCCATCAACAATAAGACAACAAACTACTGTAGTTCAGAGCAGATTCTGGTTTACTAAAGACAGGTATGAACCTGTAGATGTGAGAACAGACCCAGACTACTCAGGTCGTGTTGAGTATCTTTTTCATGAGAACGTCTGCACTCTGAGAATCAAAAACCTGACAGAGAGAGACTCAGCTGTTTACAAGTTCATGTTCACAACAAACCAACCAGGAGGAAGTTTAACTGGTGATGAAGGAGTCACTTTGTCCATCACAGGTAACATTCTCATTTTAAGTATTTTCTTCATTTTCAGAGTTAATACTACTGTGAATCTTTGTTTTTGTTTATTTTAATGTTCTAACTTTCTTCACATGTTCAGACCTTCAGGTGCAGGTGGAAACAAAAAGGAATCAGGCAGAGCTGAAGTGTTACAGCAGCTGTAATGTGGCTGATAATCCTTCATATGTCTGGTACAGAAATGGAAAAAATATGACTGCAGAGACGTCTTCTATTAGAGTCTCTGTTCATGAGAATAACAAGTATTCCTGCTCTGTTAAAGGACGAGAGGATTACCGCTCTCCTGAAGTCTGTAAGTTTACTCCACAGTGTTTGACTTTTTATAACCTGTTAACTCTTCCTCATTTTAACATTCAAAAAGTTTGACCTGACATTGATTTTCAAAGTAAATGAAAAGTGTTTTCTCCTCCAGATGCTCCAAAGCTTCCCTCTGTGTCAGTGAGTCCCTCTGCTGAGATAGTGGAGGGCAGTTCAGTGACTGTGACCTGTAGCTGTGATGCTAACCAGCACCTGAATACACCTGGTACAACATGAACGTCGTGAACTCAGTAAAGAATCAGAGCTCGTCTTCAGCTCAGTTCAGTCCTCTGACTCTGGAAGGTATTACTGTAAAGCTAAGAATGATCTGGGAGAGAGGACATCTGGATACGTCAAAGTTGAAGTGAAATGTGAGTGAAAAACATTTTCTTTGAAAAGCAACATTGAGCTGATTTCTCATTTGAAGGTTTAATTTGCTGATCATATCTGCTTCCTCTAGCTCTACTTCACACTCACAGTCTGCAGCTAAAGCCCACTGAGCACTGACAACTAATGGTTAAAAGACACATCTTTAATTTGAATTTAAATGTTGAATATAGCTGGAGTAGAGCGTTAGTTATATAATACATGTTAGCAGTGTGAGATTGTCTGTACCAACGTCTCCTCACAGCACGTGACCGAGTGAGCGTCTGAAGAGTTTCTTAAATTTGTTCCAAAGAAAAACCTTCGACTGATTTGTGACGTGTTCTTAAACAACAGAACTGTTCACACCTCATCGCTCAACAGAGCTTGTTAGCTTATTTTGCAAAGTGGAGATAGTGATGCATTGATCATTTCTATGATTGACATGTTGAGCTTTGACTTTTGATAACATGGAGGCAAAACTTTATTCTGCTCTCCTCCAGCAAAGACTGAAGCACCACAGTTCTGTTTGTTCACCTTCAAAATAAAAAGCACTAGATGTCATACTGTTTACAAAAGAAAACTGAAATTCACAGAGCAGAGAAATAAACATTTAATGGATCCAGTGTGGACAAGAAGCGTTCAATGCTTCGTCATGCGACATCATATCTAACATCTGATGCTGTGAGGAGCATCGATGGGAGCTGGAAAACAACACTCCTGAATGTATTACACACCACCACCCAAAAGGGGCAGCAGAGGGATACGTCCCTAAAACTGAGACAAAAGAGAGAGTCATCAGTAGTTTTGTCTTAGTGAGAATAGATTGTTTGAATTGATCCACTTGTTTTAATGTGCTTCATGTTCTTATACTCAGTGTTTTTATGAGATGTCTTGACTGTGATTGTAGCTGCTGGAACAGAGTCACTTAAAGGAATCATTAATTATCTATATATTGAAACAGGCTCATTCTTATCCCCTTTTCTGTTCATGTGATATGTCATAATACTATTTCAGTTTTTTCATCTTGACAATTCAAACATTTTAATGTTGAGGAGAAATTAAAACAGATGTTTTCTCCTCCAGATGCTCCAAAGCTTCCCTCTGTGTCAGTGAGTCCCTCTGCTGAGATAGTGGAGGGCAGTTCAGTGACTCTGACCTGTAGCAGTGATGCTAACCCAGCAGCTAATTATACCTGGTTCAAGGAGAATAACAATCAACCTCTGAGTAGAGAAGCTCAGCTCGTCTTCAGCTCCATCAAGTCCTCTGACTCTGGAGAGTTTTCATGTAAAGCTGAAACGATCTAGGAAAGCCGACCTATAAATGGATCTTATTGATGTAAATGTGAGTGAAACACTTTAAACAGCAACATTCAACATTTGGAGACTTTCCTTACTGACCTGATTTCTCTGTAGTTTCATAGTTTTCTCACACCTGATCATCCTGTCTGTTAATGACTTTCAAATCTTCAGAAACCTTTTTATGTATCATTCAGTTTCTCCAAAGCTTCCCTCTGTGTCAGTGATCCTCTGCTGAGATAGTGGGGCAGTTCAGTGACTCTGACCTGTAGCAGTGATGCTAACCCAGCAGCTAATTACACCTGGTTCAAGGAGGATGAAGACTCACCAACAGCTTCAGGACAGATCTTCACCATCTCTAACTTCAGTGCTGATCACAGTGGGAGATATTACTGTGAAGCTCAGAACACAAGAGGACGTCATAACTCCACCTTACATCTGCTTGTTGTGGCAGGTAAGTTATTTAAATTCACCTGCACACAAACCTGTTTACTGCACCAGACCAGATTCACATTTAGCTATTAGAAAGTAGAAAGTAGTACAAAAAAAAAAAAAAAAGAAATTCAGAGAGGAACCTCCATCCTGTCAGAGTCTGACGAATGATGAACAGAGGGTATCACAAAGTAGAAATGAAATGTTTCAATCTAATCCTACCAGTAAAGAGTCTCACATATCTATCTTTAATTCTCAGGGAACTCAACATTCATAATACATATCATCCAGTGGACTCTGCTGCTCTTGATGTTGATTTCTCTGCTTCTCGTGACTCTGTGGATGAGGTAAACACCATACAAATTTGTCTTTCAGCACACATCTCTTTTTTTATTCTTGAACTTATTTTGTATATTTGATGTTCACCATGTTCATTTTTGGATTTGTTGTTTTCTGACTTAATCCAGAAAGAAGAAAACTCTGAGCTCCACCACTGAACCTGCAGAAGTGATCGAGGTGAGAGAGAAAGACAGAGAGTTCTTACTTATCAATCTTTTCCTACATCACTGTAAAACTGATGAAACATATTTCTGATCAAATTCTTATCGTCTGTCATCAGGTGGATGTTGTGTATGAGAACGTGTCAGCCGTCACTGCAGCACAGACAGAAGACACAGAGGAGCAGGAACACATGCTGTGAAGTCCAGTCAGGTTAGAGCCTCCTGCTCTGAATCAAACAGGCCCACTTCACATTCAGAGTCACAGTTACAACTATAACTTCAGTTTGATGTGATTTTCTCCAGATGCAGTTGAACCAGATGCAGGACTCACTGTGGAGAGCGAGGCTGTGGAGGATGTGGGGGAAGTGGAAACATTGACCTTCAGCAGCAGGAAGTTAACAACAGCATGGAGCAGAGAGTTTAGGAGATGGTTTTCTTTTGCAGCTTGAACTGAATCACTTTGAGGTGTTCTGCAAGGACCTCTCCAGTCACCTTTCAATCTGCTCTATGACTTTTCACTCAAAGTTTAGTTTTGTAAATATTGGTTTTACTCTACTTACTGTATAATGACAATAAAGGCTTTCTATTTCTTACTGATGTAAAATATGTCATTCTGCTGTCTCTGTTAGTGATGTGGTTTTCAATGTTATAATCACAGTAAACATCATGAAAAACACAGGATAACAATCATCAGTACAAACTCACAAGATCATTTCCACAGTCACCTCTGTTTTTAGGCGGAACTGACATAAATGTGGTGGAAGTAATAAAACAGCTGCTTTTTTGTTCTTATCAATGTTCTGACTATTTTACTGTGCACTGATTGGACACAACACAGGACTCAGCAAAGACTTTAACTACTCACTGAACCGTACCACACTGCTGCACTCAAATGTCAGAGCATAAATTGAGATTAATTGGATTGCAGTTCACGCTCATCGTATCTGTTTTAAATAATCCAAAAGATATTAAAAATGTGTAAATCTTCTAGGAAAGTGTTTTTTGTTCAAATCCATAACTGATCATATGTGTGAGGCTCATAATGCATAGATTTACCTCCACAAACCTTGACTTTAATTTACTGACCAAAGCTTATATACCCTATAAAATCCCAAACATACAGATAAATTAATAGTTGAAACCAGCTTCATTTCAGTAAGGTGATTTTAACTGTTTTCCACCCATTATACTGTGGAAACATTGTTTTCAATATGGCATTTTGCTTTAAATTCATTCAGGCAATGTGGCTTATTTGTTTGTGATTTGTGTGTGAGCTGATGTAACCTTGTGTTTTTGTAAGCATCACCATAAGCCTTTAAATCAGATGAGTTTTAATCTGCTACCACGTCATTGAGATGTTTAAATGTGCATACTTCATGCCTAATTCTACAGGCCTGTGACTGAACCTCCAGCTTTGCAAGATTCCAAACCCATTGGTCTGTCCAACAGTTGCACACACCCTCATCTCTTCCCATTAGCTTAGCTACCTAGCCTGACAGAGCTGCTCATAGAAGAGAGTTATGATGTCTCACAAGGATCTGTGTCAAATTCTGTGCCAGTTCCCAACAATTTGACATATGAGTGTAGTCTAAATACTGCAGCTCCGCAGTAAAAAAGACACACCCTAAGCCATGATTGAACAAGCTAAACCTGCTAGAAGCAGATACTTGTGTATTTCCTCCTTCTGGGAGTTTCTTCTGTGTTGCTTCGAAGTTGTGGTTTGAGAGAAATCCATACTCCCCTCTTAGCAGGTTTGATAAAACAGATATACTCCCCTCAAATGGTTGATGTGAATATGTGCACAGCAGGTCCACTGGTGGTTGACATTAGTAATTTGTTATATCGACCCAATCCCTCTGGTGGGTGTCGAGTTGCAATGCAATTTTTTATTACTTTACATTGCAACTCTGAGCATCCATCTTATTTTTGATTTAATAACGAATTAATTAGGAATATATTCATGTTCCAATTATCTTGTTATACACAAGACATCATTGTTGAAATAAAATTGGTAAGTAATTCATACTGAGTGTTTGTGCAGACTACCCCTTAGTCACTCAGTGCACCAGCCCAGTCAAAAAAGTCTGGACACACCCCTGCACCCAAGGGTCCCACATTTTGATGATAATGTGGCAAGGGGCACTATGGGGTTGGTGTACAATAAACAATAATCTAACTGACCGACAAAGTCACCGGGGAATTTCACCCCAGGAAAAATATAAACACCTTACTCAGACAAAGGCAACACAGATTCGACAACTGAAGACAGAGACGTGGTTCAAATGACAATGTTAATTTAGTGAAAACGAGACTGGGAGTATCTGTTAAGAGATGGGTTTTAGTTATTGCTCAATTTAGGGAGAGGAATAAACAGGTTTATTACAATTTAATTTATTCTAAAATAACACTTTCATTCAAATCATCAGCAGCCTAACATCTAAGGATGTGTTCCTGGAATGCAATCTACTCAACCACTCGTGAACTCATAACAAACAGGTGCAAACTATTGTGTACCAGTGCACTTACCACTATAAACAGTGCAGGGAACCACCTAGAGGGCCTAGCCCCCACTTCACTAAAGGGAAATAAAGAAAGTATTAGCAAAGAAAACAGTTGGTACAATTTAAAA